TTTTCTGCAACCATGGGTGGCTCAGCATGTCACCACAGACACTCCTCTCATCCTCCAGATCCAGGTTTCATACTATTAAAACCAAGATGACCCAGATGATCATTCTTATTCAATTCTGTGTATTTCAATTATATTTGACTTTTCTTCTTCTTGGAATTTGTTTTTTGGTTGGATTTTTCAGAATTACCAGCATAGGTTCTTGGATGCTTTCTTCTCTGGCTTGTCCTGTGTTGTTTCTGTGCCCTTTTATACTGCCTTTCTTCCTTTGCTTTTCTGGGTATGCTTTTCTTCTCCCTTTAATGGTGAATTTGATTTGTGTGATTGCTGTTATGTCATTTTTGGGTTGTATGCTTGCTATATTAATCAGCATTCTGAGATTTTTTTTTGTGTTGCTCTTCGCTGACCATTTGTAGAGTGGGCATGGAAAATTGGCTAGACAAATGACCCTGTTGATGGCTTTCTGTGATTATATGGGGAACTGTATAAAGGTAATCAGTTCCTTCTTACTGTTTTTATCTTTTATTTTTTATTTTTTATTTTTATAAATAAAGTTGGTTAAGTGCTTCATGTTCATATACCAAGTTACATATTTTCTGTGTTTTGTGTGCATAGGATGTGGTATCAGCTCCTAGACCTAGTTGTCCACCTGTTAGAAGAATAACCGCTACAAAAGATGAGGAAGATAATGCATTGGAATATGGATTGCCATCTTCTCACACTCTAAACACAGTTTGCTTGTCCGGGTATTTACTTGCTTCTTGTCAAATACATGCAGCCAGGCAAACCTATGCCAACATTGTAGAAAGCTGTTTTCGCAAGCATAAACCTTTAGGCTTACCTAATGATAAACGTGTTTCAAAAGGTTATAAATACTGTTGCTTATGAAGGTTTTGAATATATACTCCGAGTGAGTCAAGACATTTGGTTTAAGCTATGCCTTTGGCTAAAGACTTTTATCACAGTTTGAAGCAAAACTTTTTCTATTCAAGACTAACCAGCATTTTATCAATACGTGTGTCAGAAAGTCAAGTTCATGACGTATGAATTACTGTCATATATACACTGAACATTTGCTCTTGTGTTAGGGGTTTCCAGATACCTTTTGCATTACATCCTATCATATACTCAGAATGAAGATTCCCATGTTAAGTTTGCTGGATTCGCTCTTGTTTGCTTGCTTGTGGGTCTCATTGGTTTAGGTGAGTTTATTTTTCTCTAATGAGCTTTCGACAGCTACTTTATTTGTTTATTCTTTAATCCCCAAGCTGAACTTTTATTTTCTTGATAGGAAGGATTTATCTCGGCATGCACAGTGTGGTTGATATCATAGGTGGGCTTGCTATTGGATTGGTGATCCTTAGGTTCTGGCTCAGTGTTCATGAATATGTTGACAATTTTATAGTCTCGGGACAAAATGGTAAGCAAACAAAACTAAGCTTTTGATAATTTGGGCTGCTAGTCAACTTACCATTGTATGTTTTTGATAATTTGATCGAAACAACCTAAATAGCAAACAAAACTAAGCTTTTGAAAACTTAATAACGCAAGATGAAGCTTCTGCACTGTCAGGTGGCAGCCCCAAAGATGGCGAGCATGAAAATACACAAATAGGAAGATATGCCCACCACATGCACTTTTGCATGTCAGGATATGGGATACACTCCATACAGAGATGGCAATTTTAGAAAGTGTTCTGTGAGTATATCCCTTGCAAGATTGAAACGGGCATGAAATTGGGTCCGATAGGAACATGAATTCACATGAGAACACATGAAGTCATAATGCAATTTGAAAACTTTCTACAAATGCTTTCATATCCTGTTCTATCTAATAAACGGGAGCCACCCTTTAGAAACTGGGGACGGGGACTTTGAAGTCGTAAGTGGGTTGTTTTTGTGATGTCCAAAACTGTGCTATGGATTTTCATAAATCTGGTTCAGGTTAAAGCAGAATGTTGAAACGATTTGAAAACTTTCTAGAAATGCTTTCATATCCTGTTCTATCTAATAAACGGGAGCCACCCTTTAGAAACTGGGGACGGGGACTTTGAAGTCATAAGTGGGTTGTTTTTGTGATGTCCAAAACTGTGCTATGGATTTTCATAAATCTGGTTCAGGTTAAAGCAGAATGTTGAAACGTAAACCTTATTGGACTTCGTTTGAGATAATTAGAATGGGGTTACCTTAAGACTCTTGGAATTGCAATGACAAATGAATTAAGGAATTTATAACTTGGCAAGTATGCATGTATTCTTACCGCACACTGTTTCTATTGCAGTTACATACTTTTGGGCCGCCCTGAGCTTCATATTGCTCTTTGCTTATCCAACTCCTGAATTTCCAACTCCAAGTTTTGAGTACCACACAGCCTTCAATGGTGTTGCATTAGGAATTGTAAGCAATCATTTATCCTTTAACATCACCCATTGTTGCTTATTTGAAATTTTCATTTACTATTACCCAAAGTTTATTTTGAATCATCCATATTGCTGATTGATATATGTTATCATGTTAATACTCTTAGTTCTTATATTCACAATAGTTTTAGATATAAACTTGTTCTCGAAATTTATGCAAAGTTGTGCTCTCTAAATTATACGCTTTCTCATAATATTCATAATTAAAAACAACAATGTTATCCAGGTATCTGGGGTCCAGCAGACATACCATCAGTTTCACCATGAAGCTGTTCCACGTGTATTTACATCACAATTAACAATCCCTGGCTTTACGGGAAGAATGCTTGTGGGGATACCGACAATACTTATTGTGAAGTTCTGCAGTAAAGCTCTTGCTAAATGGATTCTTCCAGTGCTAGCTAACACCTTGGGCATTTCAATAAAATCCACCACTTACATTGCGTCGCTAAAGGGTTCAAGTAATGGGAAAAAATCAGATGGGTTGAAGCAATCAGGTTATGTCCAAAAGCTGTTCTTTTTCTCCAGCCAAGACTCATTTGATGTTGATACTGGTATACGATTCCTTCAGTATGCGGGCCTGGCATGGTCCGTGGTAGATCTTGTTCCTTCCCTTTTCGCTCATTTAAGCTTGTAATGCCTCATTATTCTTATGATTAGCAAGCACTTTAAATTTCCCAATGGAAATGTGTCCTCTGTTCAATTTTGTAAATAGTATATATGTTGTAGTATGAACATAAATCGATTTTGCTTATTTCCACAGAAACCCTTCTCCAGATTTAACACAATTTGGTCAATTCAGGGCTTTCATTCCAAGAGCTGCAAATCTTGAATGTGTAGGAGGAAATTAAAATGGCAATGGAGGTTAAGATGAAGTGTCGTTTAAATAAGCCTAATAACTCAACTGAAGAGAATTGAAAAAAAAAATTGTCCTACATATGGCCTCGCCAGCCCCTTACCCTTTCTAAATTTGGCAAAAAAAGAAGAAAACATATGGCTTCGCCCAGGCTCGAACTGGGGACCTTCAGTGTGTTAGACTGACGTGATAACCAACTACACCACGAAACCCTGATATTATAAGCTCACAATGTTTTAGTATACAATCTTTTCAGCCGCTATGGTAAGCGCAGCTTGCAATTTCTCATTCGAGGCATTAAATGACTTTTCCCACCATTTTATGACTAAATTTTGGGTTCGATTCAAAATCAATTGATCATAAATTTTTCATATTTGACTGAATAAATTGTTAAAAGTACTAAATGCGGCTATTAGAGAGTATTACAATCCATTGCGACTTTAGCGAATTCAAGACATAAAAAGGTAGGAATGGATAGCCAAGATTTGTTCATTAAAGTGAATTTTCTGTCTAGGATTGAAGGCACAAAACGTGCAACCAAATCGGAAGGATTGGATTTTGAGGTTAAATCATGCGTTCTGAGCTTTATAGGACAGCATATTACAAGACACCAATTGGCATGTCACCTTATCGCCTTGTTTTTTGATTTATCTGCCATCCTTAACCCCACCCCAGCAAAAATTGGCACACTCTGCCGGGCAGCTCCCAAGAAAAAGTAGTGAGCGGGTCACACACAACATTTCTCCTGTACATAACGTTGCATTTCACTTTTGTTATTAATTGTTCATTTTTAGGACTTCAGTTTTTTACCCTGTTTGCTATGCTTCCTACTCAGTTTCTACTGCAGAATCCCTCATGTTTGAACATTTGCTTCTTCTGTGGAAACTGAAGGTCAACAGTATTCGATAATTGCCAACTTGAGATGATATCAATGTCAAAATTGATCTGCTTTTGTTGAACAAATCATTTTGATGTTTTTACATGCTGTGATGCAATGAAGTGGTGAGTCGGTGGAGAAAAACTTTGTTGCAATGGAAATAGCACTATTTTGCTATTCCTGACAAATGATGCTACAACATACGTGATAACTTTTTCACATGACATATTGTTATTGACCAGGAATAGTAAAACAATGCTACCTCCATTTCATACAAGTGTTTTTTGAGTCCGCGACTCTTCTATGATACTTTTATTGACATCTTAGAAGGGCTATGATACTTTTATTGACATCCTGGAAGAATCCCTTCAATTGTTAGCTGTTGCCAGCCATTGGTTGTCAACTTAAGGAAACAGAGTGCATGTTATCCCTCCAACAAATCCTTGATTCACAAGACATCAACTAAACGCAAAAAACAGCTGTACATGCCAAATGTGCAGTGGCATGCATAACTTAGAACTTCTCTCAACTGAAAAAAGTCTCGACCATGCGTAGTGGCTTAAAAAGACGTTGAAATTAAAAAGGCAACCCTACTAAAAAAATAATCGATAGGCAGGGCGGATAGGGGATCCAGTTAGAGCAGTAAAAATTATGTCCAGTTAACTAGACGAACCTGCGCTGTCACAGTCGTAAGTTCCAACCACAATTCCTTTAAATCCCTCCATCCAAATGAACCCTTTACATTTGTATTCAATCACTTATTTGCACAATGAGCACTCGGAGAGTGTTCTCTTGCGTTATAGGGGAGAAAGTGAAATTCATAAAAGAACCATCACATTGCCAATCATCACTGATAAAGTAATTGAATAGAAGTGCAAAACATCCACTAATAATAAAGTTCCATGCACCCTTGAGAGCCCCAAAAGAATGGGATGGGTGAGCAAAACGTACAAGGAGAAAAAGATAGAAGTACAAAAACCAAAAAGAATATCCACATATTCTGCTGGATATGATACAATAATTACGGTGTGTCAACAGCTAGGCAAACTATTTGGTAGGAAATCCAGCAAGGTTCAAGTGAAATCAGCAGGCACCTTACCTGTGTATTTTACATCGTCTTGGAATCCTATAACCAGACAGGTAGACTTAGATTTTAAACCCAATAGTCATCTTGTGCAAAAACAATGTGCAACCAGCAGTGGAAGAGCGGAGGAGCCACAAAATAAATGGCATCAATGCACCAGCTTCACAGAAAGTAATCAGGTGTTCTACGGGTAACATCTGGCTCTCCTCTTCTAGGAGCTGGCTCAAACTGCCAAAAAAAAAAAGTTCACATTTCATGCATGCACAAAATTTAGCCATGTTTTACTACTTCAATGTGTGTGTTTTTCTGTGTATGAGAGAGAGAGAGAGAGAGAGAGAGAGAGAGAGAGAGAACCTGAAGGTATGGCCCCTGCAGTCATCGACTTCTAAAACAGAAGCCATGTTCCCACAGCGATAGCAATAATTAGGTGCACTAAATATAGTAACCACCTTTTGTTCCTGTCCAGACAACACAATGTTAGATCATTAATAAACCTTACTGCTGTGTACCAAACAAACAAGACAATGAAACAGCTCAAGTTTCACAGATTAAAAAATTACATGAGCCCAGTTGAATCCATCCATAACCAACTGATGAGCTCTTGCAATCAACTTTAAACTGTTTGTATGATTAAATTGTTCAGATATATCCTGCCAAAATCAGAAAAACAAAAAGTGAATATTTGATCAGTAAGAACTAGATAGACAATAACCCAAAAGTCATATACACTAAATGTTAAGGTGACCATTTGAACTTCGGATGGTGCAACATCTTCAATAAATATAAAAGAAACCTATGAGATATTTAAAGTTACCTGACCAAAAGTATATCCCGCACCACGAGGTGAAATACCCCAACCACATCGGTCATCTGGGTCAGACCATAACAGATCACACATCGGCCCTTCATGTGGAACCTCTTGAACACGATCAAAATTCCTTATGTTATCAAGGTTTTCAATGGAAGGGGACAACCCACCATGCAGGCAAAATATTTCTGACTCAACCTAAAGAGAAATAAGCACAGACGAGTATCATAATAGGTGATCAACGTTTAAAATAAATATACTTCAGCAAGACATACTGAAGACTTGTTTGCTAATCACACTAATATTATAGTGAGCCCAATCAAAGAGAAAAAGTGACTTTAAACAAGCAGCAAACAACAGGATCAGCTCACCAAATATTCACATAAATATATATATATCTAAAGAAATAATCTGAACAAGTATATCTCTCCTGCTTTTATCTTTAATTAAGAATGCTAAAACTTGCAGTGTTTTGACCTACCATTATTCCTCACCAACACAGCAAGACATCTAAGTGTTCACTAATTGCATTATATTAAAGTGACCCTAATAAATGAGGAAGGTGCATGTAAACTGCAGAAAACCACAAAATCAGCTCGTAGAAAATGTATTATATTTATAAAATCATCACTTTTCATTCCATTTGTATCCACAATAATATTACATGGACAAAATGGAAAATTTTTACTAACCAATGCTGTCAGTGGAAAGTAGTCAAAAAGGTCAGTGAAGATCTTCCAAACATTGGCATTGCCATACCTGTAATTAAATCAGCAGAAGATGCACCATCATTGAATTTCCAGAGGATCTAAAAGCAAATAGATTGTTCTACGTGCATGAGAGTGTACACAACCACGACATAAAGTACAATTTAATCTGAAATGCCAAATGGCCAGAAACTAAAAGAACTCAAAAAGCTATGTTTTTACATTACAACACTGGATAAAAATGTCAAGCCAGTACCCGAATGACAAGCAAGCAACAGGCCTTAAGAGAATGATACAGAAGTGAAAGTCCATCAAGAATGTTAACCTGAACCTAATCTATCATGATTTATTGCATCAAGTGTTGCACCATGCCATATACTAAACAAACAGACTATACAATAGGAAGGATTCAGCATAACTTAATAGAAGCTTTCAAAACTGCACTATGCTGTACTAATTTGCACTGGAGATTGCTCATATTGTTGAGATGAAAATAACAAACCAATGTTTTTAAAGAGAATCAGTGCTAACCAGTCAGGATAAAGTTCAAGAAGTTTGATTAGAACGTACTAGTATGCCTTCTATGGTAACCAAAATGGTACTAATATGCCTTCAATTGATATGGGTACAATTTTGATTCTACTTTTTAAGACCTCAGGCAGAAAAAGCATTCGAGCTAGGGTTTGGCAAGTAACTATCACATCTTCATACTCTCAGTTGATTTGAGTCTTCATGTCCAAAAATAAATCATATGTTTATATGTTTCAATCCTGTTTATTTATTTGGTTCAACTAATCATATTCCTTCCAGCATTTGCTCTAACCAGTTATTTGTTGATTATGAAAGTTTATATGCTTTTTCTTTCCTGTAAGTAGAAGAAACCCGGTGTGTAACCCAAAATTAAAAATCAAAAGAAACCTCATGGTTTCTCACAAGTTTTCATCAAAATTCACGTTCCAACATGACATAGATTACAAATTTAACATTAAATGCAACTAGTATTTTCAAATAATAGGTTCTTTACACTAAAGAAAGGTGTGCGCAGAATACTCACTTTCGAAGACATTCATCGTAAAACCCATAAACCTGAGTAATCTGTGAAAAAAAATACAAATATGAAGCTATAAACAGGTCTCCAGATCAATGCTCCAGCACAATTTAAATTTTATAAACGCACAGTAGATTATTATTGTCTAGTCATAGAACCAGCACTGTACCAAGTAAAAACAAACAATAACAAAATATCCTTTTTCAACAGACTCGACACCATTTGTGACAAAAGAAACTAAATGTAAGCTCTGTGGCAGCTGCTGAAATCGAGACGAAATAAGTCAAAATAACTTGGTGAAAGGCAAAATACCTGACGACTTTCATGGTTTCCTCTGAGAATAGTGATACGCTGAGGATAACGCACTTTCAGGGCCACTAAGAGCTGGATGAACGTAATAATCATTATCAGCATCGAATTTTAAAAGCATGAAAATAATGAAAAATTGCTAAACAGACATCAGATGGCACACATTTTTAAGGGAGAAAAAAAAAACCAACTTTATACAAAGCTAGTCAAAAATTGAAGCATTGCGATTTGACAAGATTTGGCCCCTAACCGGATGGATTGTCTTGCCAAATCATGACTGGCCCCCTTAGATGATATATATCATAAACAATGCACTCAACCCAATGCTAGCCTGAATTCCATAGATTGTCACTCAGAATTTCAAGGAAAATTTTATTAACTGACAAAAAAGGGGATAGTGCCTTTAAATCAAATGTAAAGCACTCACATGCAAGTAATATTGTATATGCACACACACACATATTCATTTACTTGGTAATTTTTAATTCAACACTGAGAGTTTAGGAAGTTCTTTTTAAAACTTAGAGAAGGCAAACAACCTTACCCATCCACCCATACACTAAATAAAATGATGCAAAATGAAAACTGTGCCAAGCTTTTCACAAATTGAGCACCAAGTGTTGAGAATCAAAATATAAACAAGGCAGTGGAATATCTCTTTATTATTTGTTCTTGTACTTGTCTGCGCATATACTAGTATGGGAACTGAAAAACAAATCTACAGCAGTACTTCATGACACTACAATTTGTGCAATTTCAAATGATATTTTGTCAGGAGCATAAGAAAATCCAGTAAATTGATGGTTACATACCGTCACGGTTTCAACAGAATAATAACCACGGTCCACATAATCTCCCATAAACAAGTAATTGGTATCGGGACACTGTCAAAGAAAATAATATCATTTAGATAGACCTTGATAAGAATGTTGACAAATAATAATCAAAAGTATATTTTAAAACCCAAATAAAGGAAGACAAGACTGACACAGAAGAATTGAATAGAAAAGGTCATAGTCAGAACTGATACCTTCCCTCCAATTCGAAAAAGCTCTGCCAGGTCGTGAAACTGCCCATGAATATCGCCACAAATTGTCACTGGGCTTTTCACAGGCTGTAGTACATGAAGAAAAAAAAATTAATGACTCCCTGTATAATTTGAAAGATCTAACTATTCAAGTGAATTTCAAACAGAGCTGTAATGCAATGATAGTGGATAGTGATCTGTATAATTTGAAAGATCTAACTATTCAAGTGAATTTCAAACAGAGCTGTAATGCAATGATAGTGGATAGTGATCAACCATAACATTACAACAAATAAAAATATTACAAAAAGAAATTAAAACCTTCCTGCACATAAAGTAGCCATTCCTAAGCCAACACCAGATCAACTAGTTCAGATGAATAACAATATTAACAATTTTATCTCATTACACTAATCTCTTTTAACAAATACTAGCCAAAATTATATGAGTAATAACTACAATAGTAATATATTACCTTCTGAACTAATCACTTAAAGTCCAATACGATACTATCTTTAAAAATAAAAAAGGAGCCTACACGGCTTCCCTGATGTCTCCGAGACAAGATGCATTTCCCACTACACACACATCCAGAAATTGAAATTGAAATATATTCCAGAAATTAAAAGTTAAAGAAGACCCACGCAAAATGAAATAACAGTAAATAAAGACTGCACCTGAACATTGCTTTCTCCCATTAGAATTTCCTTTGCTTTCTCGCATAACCCTCTCACCTACAATGAAGCAACAAAGAAAAGATCATTCTGGAGAAGAGAGAAAATTGGGAGCTTTATTTGCTACACTGATTACAAATATTTCAGAAAAGATACGAAGTGGATGTTGAAGAGTGAGGGTTTTGATACTCAAAGCGGAAGATTATTTTTTCTTTTTTGATAAAATTGCAGCAAATCTTGACATAGAATACTTCACAGACATTTTCCATAGCCATTTCTATGGTGGGATATTTTCACAACTTTCCCACAAAATCGTTAAATTTCAGTACCAAAACATCTTTACCCCTCTCTCCATTAAAAAATTCAAAATACCCAGCACCTCGCTCAAAATCATGACAAAATGATTCATCTCTAAAACTGATTTTGGTGAAAAGCAACATCCAAATCCAAAAATAGCCCACATCAATAGGTGCCACATTTTTCTAAAGCTCATATTTTCTGCATCACTACTAAATAGAGCTCATAAGTTATCCCTACTTGTCCCAATAATTTGTAAACAAATCAAAGCACAAAAATTTAAGAAAAAGTAAAGAGTTTGATTTAAAATAACAAAAATCAGAATCTGAATTACATCACTACAAAAACACAAACAAGAAAAAGAAAATCCCCCATTTAGTTGCTAAGAAAACTTTTCTTTATATACAAACATACCAACTCAAATTCAATCAGAATTAGAAATCCTCACAAATCCAACAGAAAATAAAAAATCCCATGAATCCATTTCTTTTCCTATATTTTCCATGCAACCCAACCCTAATCCCCAAATTTCCCAATCAAACACCAATCAATCATCCGTAAAAACGAAACGAATTCAAGAAATGAAGAATGTACAGAACCTGTGGTTCCGAGAGTGGCTTGCACTGCATAAGTTGCTCGATCTGCTCGTTCAGATCACTGCTCGTATCCGAGGATACAGAATTGACGCCCATCTTGCTTCTCTCTCCTTTGAGAATCGAATTGGGATTACTGGTATTCGGATTAGGGATAACCCTAACCCCAGATTCAGAGATTGGTTCCGGTCCTCACTCTCTGATCGTGCTTAAAGCAGAGGTGAGAGGACGGAGACAAAAATGAGAGAGCGCGTGAAGGAGAGAGCGAGTGGGTGTGTAGGCGTTGCATTATACGCCACCCGCTGCCACGTAATGGTTGAATTACATAATTACCCTTACTGAGTTTCTATTCTTACATTGGACACCGTTCGTTTCGTTTGTCTGGGATTGACTGATAGGCCCAGCCCAAACCCTGTACATCACTATTTGAATAATTAGAGAGCTTCTAAATGCACCCCATAATTTTGTTACTACACCCACGTTTTAATAACTTTTATTGTGGGGATTTTGTTCTTATAAAAGGACTAGGGCCAGTTTGGCATTGTTGTGCTGTGAAAATAATCGCTGTCAGATTTGCGAGAGAAAGCAATTTGGCGTTTGGTAAACTTTTTGTTAAAAATGTTGTTACTAATTTCCGCATAATCAAAAAATGATTCCCGTATAATTATTAAACCTAGCATCTCTTCGAAATTTATTTCCCCATAATCAGAAAATGAAAGTACCTCATTAGCTACTTTCCCTTATAGCTTTTCTCTCACAACAATTTTTAACAATAAGTGATTTTCTCATAGTTTACCAAACGGGCTGGACTTCCCAAAATTCTTAAAAAATCACTTATCACCCCAAATAAGCAATCCCAAACAGACACTAAGCCATAATATAAAAAATATATATTATTTTAAAAAAATAAACCATCCGTTGATGAAGAGAACGTGTCATGCGGTGGGATAAATTAACAATAGGATGACACATATTGCGTGACATAAACATTATAAATCTCAACAAAAATTACATATCATTCTACATTTATTACTATATGACATAAGTGCTTTTTACATAAGTTTTTCTCCACACGGAGAGCAAAACTTGGCCTTTATGGAGGCCAATATTGCAACCTCACTTGAGGTTAGCGAGGACGCGACCACCATCATCTTGATAGAGGCTATTAGAGCACTTCCAATGCAGGAGGCTGGCCCGAGCAAGAGGAGGCCCGAGGCCCTTTGTGCAGTTCCATCGGTCTTCTACAGCGGGGGCAAATGGTGGGGACCACCAAATTGGGCAAGCCCAAAGGCAAATAAAGCCCAAGCTCGTGCCAAAGGGGCGTTGATGTCAGTGTATGGGTTTCAAATTTTTTTACCATTGAGCGTGGCGTGCACGCGCCAATGGTAAAAAAATTTGAAATTCGCATGCGATGACGCCAACCTGGAGTTAGCCCTGCTTTCCACCAATGGCTACAAGCCACGCGTTGCGTCCTAGTGTCTCCGATCATAATTTTTCCTCCAATTCAACGACTGCCAATTTGTGTGTAAAAAAATATTGAAATTAAAATCAAAATTTTTTATAAAAAATACCAAAAAATTCTGAATTTTTTTTTCTTCTATAAATACCTACCAATATTCTTCACTTTCCACACCAAATCTTCATACATTTTCTTCTCCTTCCAATATTATCCAAAAAATTTATCCGAAATGTGAATTTTATAATAAATATTGACACGTAGCAACCAAAAATTTTATCCAAGTTAATCGTTTAAGAAAAAAAAAATTAAAGTGAATAGTATTTGCCCTTTGTCATAGGAATGAGTGGAAACACAACAAGGCTTTTGCAAGGGCCATCACTATTCACGTAAATAGTAACATCCATGGCCTCCCCTTTTCCTTTGCCATGGCAAATGGGTGGAAGTGCTCTTATAAGTTGGCCTCCATTGATGAAGCTAAGGTAATTGGCCTTGTTTGAGGCAGTTAGACAAGTTTTCGAAGGTACATAGCGAAAAACTACATGTGATGTCTCATTTGGATGCACTAATAATTTTTATATAGAGAAATAAATAAATAATTTTTTTTATAAAATAAATAAATAACTTTAAATCTACTTATGTCCTTCATTTTGGCTTAAAAATGGTTTCATTCCCCTTAAAAAAACGTAGCAATCTCATTAAAAATTAAATGAAAAGCCTCTGGCGTTTTAGCGTTTGAGATGAACTGTTATGACGGTTAATGTTTAATAACATTTCAAAGAAAGTGTTCAGAGCTTTGGTGTTTCCACGTAAAAATGAATAGACTTCTATTTTACCACAATGATGAGATTCGAACTTGAGTGCAAAGGGTGGGTTCACTACTCTTGCCTAACTAGCCTAATCCACATATACAAAATCAAACTTGTGTAAATATAAGAACTTATTTTGTTCCTCTTACCCAAAAAATGTTGGACTTGTAAAACAAATTTAGGCGAAAACGGGCTATAACACATAAAGTTGTCAAAGATAAACCTGTGATGCGAAGCCAGGGGCGCCTTGGAGGTCTTGAAAATCAATGACTTCTCACTAGGAGGTGGACATTTGAACTGATGAATACGTGGAGCAAGCCGAACCAAGTCAAAAAATGGACAACGACTGTGTTGACCAAAAAAACAAAGTTCACCAATGCTAAAAAATCAAAACGGATCATTTTGGATGCCTTCTCATCCCGGTTATTGCCTTGGAATTGAGAGCGAAGTGATTGGAAGAAAAGAAAATCAAAGTCACATCTATTAGATATGACATAGGTATATTTTAGGAGAGGCAATCCCAGTTCAGTTCGTGTGTTGTGTTCGTATAGGATTGAAACACATGTATTAGACTAATTGGGTTCACATGAACACGACAAGATTATTAATCATGTAATAATCATGTCCTAATGTTTTCAACACAAACACCACAACACGATTGTTACGTATAAAAACGAGATGACACACGTAATTAATTTACTATCAGGTCGAAATTGAGTTTTGTATTTGAAGTGACACGATTAATTTGTTCTTGAGCAAGTATATATTTTCAACACAATCAAAAGTTTTGTAGTTAAATTCAACTTAAAGATCGTACGCAACATTTCATGTTTGAAGTAACACGATTAACTTGTTCTTTGAAGATCGTACGCAACATTTCATATTTGAAGTAACACGATTAACTTGTTCTTGAACAAGTTTATATTTTCAACACAATCGAAAGTTTTATAGTTAAATTCAACTTAAATATCTTACGCAACATTTCATGTTTAAATTAAACTTCTAAATTAAAGAGTTTGAAAATCATAACTCTTCTATTTTGTATTACTCTTGACAGTTCCGCTCATCTAAGGACCTCAAAACGAGACGTGTTGAAAATTTACCGCACATATTTCACATGGGAAAATCTATGTTTTAACCTCAAATCTACGGATTAACCCTCACAATTTCACGCTTTACCGCTGGGTTATTTTTATGACAGCAGCCAATATTCTCCCACAAATTGTACGGACGCCAATGAATTTAAGATATTTTTCATTTTATTTATTTTTAAATTAAATTTTTTCCTCGACACGTTTGGCAGCGTAGAAAAGGGAAAAAGAAAAGGAGAAGAAAGAGTTTTGATCCCATTTGAAAAGGAGAAGAAAATCTCAAGGAACAAAAAAAATCTCATTGACGAAGATAAAGAAAAACCAAAGCGATATCTTCGCTTGCCCTCCGATCCTGCCATTCCTGCTCTCAGAAAAGCTAGGGTTACTCAAATTTCCTGTTTCCCGATCCAACGCTGTTCTCACTGCTCGTTTTCTCCCGAGGTTCGACGCTCTTTCAGAGTCTGCAATTTTGCATCTCTTAGCTATGTCGTCGTGCTTGTTAATTGTTTTGTATGTGTTAATCTGCTGTTTTGAATGCCTGCTATAATTTTCGTTTCGAAACTCGAACCTGTGTGTTTTTTTCTTCCCAGGTTTCGTATAACGACATTGCCCAGTTTTCTAAATTTTGATCTAGTGTTACTTTTGTTTGCTTAGTTTTACTTTGATCTTCTTGCTCAGATTTTCATTTTGAACTTTCTGCATGATGTTTATTGCGATAACTAATCACTCTTTCCAAAAAAATTAATTTTAATTGGTTTAATCACGTTATTTTTCAGAAAAATTGTTATTCTAGCGTACTGTTAGTGTTATATAATTGTAACTGATATTACCTTTAACCAGTTTATTTTGATCATTTTTGTAGGCTAGTCCTCGTCCATCAATTTTGAAGGCATATTTTTGTTGTTTAATAACATAGTTCCCAACCGAAAAAAAACATAGTTTTTGCCCTTATTATTCGTCTGATTGTTTAGATTGAACGGTATAGTGGTAAGATTGATCGAGGCTGCAAGTTATATGGAGAAAATTATGAGACAAATTTTGATTTGGAGTCCAATTTTAATTTTTAAAAATTAATTTTGTGTGTTTGGTGCATTAGGTTACTAATTGCTGTCATTGGAAAAGAAGGGGTCGCATTTTTCCAATTATGAGAACTTCATGGGCAGATTCTGTTGCTAATTCTCAAGCAGAGAATCCAACCACTGGTGCATCTGATAATAACAGCTCATTTCGCCCTCCACGGTCAACTTATGTCCCGCCACATCTTCGTAATAGGCCACCGTCTTCTGATCCCCCGGCTCCTTCACAATCTGCCCCACCACCAGCTAATGACCGTGTAGGTAACAGTGGGCCTGCAGCTGGGCCCACCTGGGGTGCTGGTAGTTCTAGACATGATGCTGGGCGCCCAGGATATGTTTCCAGTGGTGGTCGAAATGGTGGTGGTTGGAACAATAGAAGCGGAGGGTGGGACCGTGGGAGGGATCGTGAGGTAAACCCTTTTGCTGATGAAGACATCACAGAACCGGCATTTAGTGATCAAGAAAACACTGTCATTAACTTTGATGCTTATGAGGATATCCCGGTTGAAACTAGTGGGGATAATGTGCCACCACCTGTGAATACTTTCGCAGAGATAGACTTAGGGGAGGCTTTGAATTTAAATATTCAGAGGTGCAAGTATGTGAAGCCGACTCCTGTTCAGCGTCATGCAATACCTATTTCTCTTGGAGGGCGGGATTTGATGGCTTGTGCTCAGACGGGTTCAGGGAAGACAGCTGCTTTCTGCTTTCCGATTATTAGTGGAATCATGCAGGGGCAGTATGTTCAGAGACCTCGTGGAGCACGTACTGTGTACCCTCTTGCTCTTATTCTCTCCCCTACTAGAGAACTCTCTTGCCAGGTTGGATTGTTGTTATGCTAGTCACATCATGTGTAATCTTGTGGTGTATATGTAATAGCTTATTGTTGTTTCTGTTTTGACTGGCTTGCAGATACATGAAGAAACTAGAAAATTTTCTTATCAAACTGGTGTCAAGGTGGTAGTTGCTTATGGAGGAGCACCAATAAACCAACAGGTTCGTACAACTTGACGAAGGTTGTGGTTTAGTGATACTTTGGAACCTTGTTCACTTTCATATATATGTTCCCTGTTTTCAACTACCCCACATTAAAGCTTATACCACTTTTTTCCATTTCTGCTTTTGGTGATTGTGATACAGAGTGCATGTACATCTTCTATTTGAAACTAGAAAATATTAATTCCCTACGGAAATGTATCGGGTTATAGTTTATTTGCTACAGCATGCCTTTCTTCTTCCTCTTACACTTTTTATTTTATTTATTTTGTTTATATTTTGTAAAATTTATTTCAGCAAATAATTTTTTTAACTACAAAATGAAGGCTCAGTTTGTAAAGGATGGGTGGGTTTTAGGTTTATATGTTTAAGAGAGAGGGAGAGAGAGAGTTTGCAAACTGATCAATGATCATAATTTTGGTTATAGTTGAATATGGTGGGAGATGTTTTTGGCTGACCTGTATTAAAATTTGGTCCCTAGCCCATCCAAAGTATTATAATTTAAGCACATTTCTTTTTGTACCTATTCTTTCTGTCCCTTTTGCATTTTTGTTTTGTTTTGTTTTTGAAGGTTCACCTCCTACTGTATTGTTTTCTAATATTGTGCCAGTTGAGAGAGCTTGAGAGGGGGGTGGATATTCTTGTGGCAACTCCGGGACGATTGGTAGATCTGCTCGAGAGGGCAAGAGTGTCGTTGCAGATGATAAGATATTTAGCTCTTGATGAGGCAGATCGGATGCTGGACATGGGTTTTGAGCCTCAAATTAGGAAGATAGTGGAACAGATGGACATGCCTCCACCAGGTTTGAGACAGACCATGCTATTTAGTGCTACCTTTCCAAAGGAGATACAGGTTTGTTTTAATTGTCAACTGGGTTTTCTGTTGGATTTGTCTTTAATTATTGGCATCTGCATATTTCTTATTGGTGTGTTATGAACTTTTTATTGAGATATGTTCCTTTGACTTAATTGCTCTTAAAAGATGTACTGAATAGTGGAATTCCAAATGGAAATTATCTAATAGCTTTTGCAATCTTTTGTTGGTATGCAGCGACTGGCATCAGATTTTCTTTCAAATTATATATTTTTGGCTGTCGGAAGGGTTGGTTCAAGTACTGATTTAATTGTTCAAAGAGTTGAGTTCGTTCACGAGTCTGATAAAAGAAGTCATCTCATGGACCTCCTTCATGCACAGAGGGAAAATGGAGTTCATGGCAAGGTAATATGGAAAAGGAAAATTATCAACTTGGACTTCTTTGTTAAATTTCTTTTGATTATTGGAATAGTTGATATATACTGCTTAAGCTACTATTTCCAAGGCTATACGTTCCATTTGGGTTGATAGATTCTGTCAGTATCTTGCATTGTATTAATAATCGCTTGTCATTCAATTTTCAGCAATCCCTGACATTAGTTTTTGTGGAGACAAAGAAGGGAGCCGATGCATTGGAACACTGGTTGTGTATGAATGGGTTTCCGGCAACTACTATTCATGGTGACAGAACACAACAGGTAAGCTGGTTGGAATTTAGGTTTATAGTTATGAGAAGTGATATATGTTTTCTATTGTTTGTGTCTGGTATTTATGTCCTTAATGACAATTATTCTTGGTGAAGAAAGAAGTTAAACCTTGGAGTATTTTTTGTGTCTGTGATATTGTGTTGTTAATGACAAATGTTCTTGGTGAAGAAAGAAGTTAAACCTTGGAGTTTTGTAGTATGCTTTCTCTGTAGCCTCATGCCCTATTTTATAGGTCTGAGATTTTATGCTCTCTCTCTCTCTCTCTCTCTCTCTCTCTCTCTCTCTCTCTCTCTCTCTCTCTCTCTCTCTCTCTCTCTCTCTCTCTCTCTCTCTCTCTCTCTCTCTCTCTCTCTCTCTCTCTCTCTCTCTCTCTCTCTCTCTCTCTCTCTCTCTCTCTCTCTCTCTCTCTCTCTCTCTCTCTCTCTCTCTCTCTCTCTCTCTCTCTCTCTCTCTCTCTCTCTCTCTCTCTCTCTCTCTCTCTCTCTCTCTCTCTCTCTCTCTCTCTCTCTCTCTCTCTCTCTCTCTCTCTCTCTCTCTCTCTCTCTCTCTCTCTCTCTCTCTCTCTCTCTCTCTCTCTCTCTCTCTCTCTCTCTCTCTCTCTCTCTCTCTCTCTCTCTCTCTCTCTCTCTCTCTCTCTCTCTCTCTCTCTCTCTCTCTCTCTCTCTCTCTCTCTCTCTCTCTCTCTCTCTCTCTCTCTCTCTCTCTCTCTCTCTCTCTCTCTCTCTCTCTCTCTCTCTCTCTCTCTCCTGTTTACCAAGAGCCAGGAGGGAGCTCTACGTGGTTGGTAGGTTGGGGGCTAGATAAGCTGACATAAGTTTCTGATCATATGTCGTGGCAAAAAGGCAAAAGAACTCTTTGTTGAGCTATTTTGATGCCATAACTGAGTAAATTATGTTTCTGCTTTTCCTGCAGAATGGTTTTAGTGTCTGTTTCAACTGCAAGTCATCCTTTTTTCTTGTTAATATATTAAATTTAAATGAAGATAAGTTTCAGGAAGTTCATGACTGCCATCTGAAGATTCTCTATAGAAAGCTTCACTTCACTTCACTTGGTTGTCAATTGTAGTCCTTTTTTTTGGTGTATGTAATGATGATCATGCAAGTTTAGCATGAATCTGAGTTCTGACATTATTACGATATGACGTGCTTGCATGCAGGAAAGAGAACAGGCACTGAGATCATTCAAGAGTGGAAATACACCAATTTTAGTGGCAACAGATGTGGCAGCACGTGGTCTTGATATCCCCCATGTAGCTCATGTGGTAAATTTTGATCTCCCAAATGACATTGATGATTATGTTCACCGGATAGGTAGGACAGGGCGAGCGGGCAAATCAGGATTGGCAACAGCATTCTTTAACGAGAATAATTTATCAATGGCGAAACCACTTGCTGATCTAATGCAAGAGGCAAATCAGGAAGTACCTGCTTGGCTTACTCGTTATGCATCAAGGACTTCTTATGGTGGCGGCAGTAGGAATCGGCGATCTGGGGGAGGTCGTTTTGGCGGCCGTGATTTTAGAAGGGAGAGCTCCTTCACTAGGGGTTCAGATTTCTACGGTGGGGGAAACAGTAGTGGGGGATATGGGGTGCCCGGTGGCTATGGTGGGGCCCCTGGGGGTTATGGCCCGAGTAATGGTATGACCAGTGCCTGGGATTAGTGTTCCATAATTCCCGTCCTGTTTTACTCGAGTATATAAAACATTAATTTTCTTCGAAATTCATGGATCATATGTTCTGTTTCCTTTTTCTTTCTCTGTTGAGTTAGTGGTTCTGATGTGGTAACTGCTCTGGTGAATTTTGAGGAGAGGACTGTTATTAGTGGGGTGGTTAATGTGAATAATACATTTAGTTTTGGCCCCCCCCC